CAGTTGAGGTTCATCATGTTTCCCCATGTCCTAGAAACTAGTTTGAGTTTTGTGTGGTTTTATTTCAATTTTACGAGCATTTGATGAGACTACTTTAAATTTTCATCAACAATATTTGCGTTTGATTATTTTGAGTTAATTCTGATATCAATTGGTATCATAGCTAATCTAACACTAGTTGTATCTTAGAATTTCCTAACATCCTTTTTAACCCTTCACCAAATTTTTTTTTTCTTTTTTATCCTCAACCACCCCTTCTAAATCCAAACCCTAAACAAGTCACCATAGAGATACTCATTGAAACCTACCAAGAATGAGATGCAACGGGAGATCCATTGGCTTCAACAGAGGCTTGCGGAGATTGATGATGAAATCCCTGGACCCAGGGGAAAATTACCCTCGATCATAATCTCGAGAGTCTAAGAGGAAATAGGGACAAGTATTTGAATCTATTCTAAAGGCAAGACATCAGCGTTAAAGAATAAAGCTCCGCCGCTTCGAAATTCAGTATCAGAGGAGGCAAAGAAAAGAGCCTACATATGGAGGACACGAGGACTTTGGCATCAAGGTGGACCTACCAAAATTTGATAGAAGTATGAATTCAAATGACTTTATCGACTGACTGCAATCTATGGAGCGAATCATCGAATGTGAGAAAGTGTCAGAAGATAAACGGGAAAAATTAGCAGCCATCAAGTTAAAGAGGAGCGGCTCCTTGGGATGAGAGAACTTACGAAGGCAGAGGAAGAGAGAAGGCAAGGATAAGATTACTAAGTGAGAAAAGATAAGGAAAAAGATGCAAATGAAATACCTTCCACCAAATTACCACCAAGGCATGTTTATAAGACTCCACTATCTACAGAAGAGAAACTTTTAGTGGGGTTAACGGCACAGTTCGACCAATTGCAGATAAAGTGTGAGTTGGTCAAGCCAGAGAAACAAACTGCAGTCCGGTATTTGGGGGGCCGAAGCCCGCTATTAGCAATGTTGTGAAGTTACAATCATATTAGTCATTGGGGAATTTCCAAATATTAGTCTTGTAGGTGAAAAGATAACTAAAACAGAGAAAGCAGCAATCTTCATTCAGGCAATAGTTCTCATTTAAGAAGTCACCTACAGCTACAACAACCGACAATGGTACCTCTAGAGGAGTTGTCAAGACAAGTCAGGGAAGCAATAAGACAAATTTGAGTGGAAAGAAGAAGGAACAAGTTAGCTTGCCCGATACATTGCCTTTTAGGAGGTGTTTTAGATGTCACGGCTACAGGTACATGGCCTCTAGCTATCCCACAAGTCAGGTTATTTCATTCACAGATCAGGGTGTCGACGAGGAATCAGATGATAGTACAGAGAAAGAACTTTAGCTCCAGAGTGATGAAGGAGATATATTAGTCATAATGAGAGTTCTGCAGTCAAAGCCGGAGAGAGATCGATCATGGCTGAGGCACAATATCTTTCGCACTAAGTGTAGCATAGGGCAAGTTTTTTAATTTGATTATCGACGATGAGAGTTGTGAAAATGTGGCGTCCACGTTAATGGTAAAGAAATTGGGATTGGTCAAACAGAAACATCCTCCATCTTATTCTCTTAACTGATTGAAGAGGGAAAAGCGATGGGCGTGGATCAGTAGTCTTTGGCTGAATTTTCAATTGAGGGTAAGTTACAGGAGCAACTGTGGTGATACATGATTCCAATGGATGCGTGCTACATTCTGTTAGGGAGGCCTTGGTAGTTCGACTATAAAACTCAATAGAACGGCTTCAAGAATACTTACTCTTTTAAAAATGACAAGAAACACATTGTATTGTCACCTGTTAAAGATACGAGAGGTGTAGACGACACAAGAAAGCGTTAGTCTCAAGGGTCGCCTCCATGCAATCAATTTGAAATGCTCCAGTGGCATTGACCTTAGTCCTACTAGAGAAAACTTGAGAGAGTGAGATACCAACACCGCTACAGCCACTATTACATCACTTTAAGGATGTGATGACAGACAATTTTCCAAAGAGATTGCCGCCACTGAGAAATATTTAGCATACCATAGATCATATCAGTGTTATCAAACTGGCTTTCCAACAGATTGAGACCTGCAGAGTACGAGAGTTGCAGCGACAGGTACAAGATCTCATCGCAGGAGGGTTGGTTAGAGAAAGCACCAGTTCATCTGTTGTCCTCGATCTGATGGTACCCAAGAAGGATTGTTCGTGGCAAATGCGCATTGACAGTAGAGCCATCAACAAGATTGCCGTCAAGTGTTGGTTTCCCATACCTCGCCTGGATGAACTCTTGCATCAATTCCACTGAGCCACCAACTTTTCCAATATCAACTTACACAGTAGGTATCATTAGATCCGGATGAGGTCAGAAGACGAGTGGAAGACCGCTTTCAAGACACAATATAACTAATATAAGTGGATTGTTATGCCTTTTGTATTGTTGAATGCGCCCAACACTTTTATGAGGTTGATGAATCAGGTAATTGGGCCCACATTGGGAACTTTATTGTGGTATATTTTGATGACATACTAATATACAGCCGATCCGAGAAGCTGTTTAAGCACCTGAGGATGGCGGTTAAGGTGTTGCGAGCAGAAAAGTTATATGTCCATCCAAACAAGTGCCACTTTATGACGGCCCAAGAATATTTTTTGGGTTATATCGTTTACAGTGTAGGCAGTCAAATGGATTCTACAAAGATCAAAACCAATGTGAGCCGGACCACACCACAGTCTTTCACTGAGTTGAGGCAATTTCTGGGACTAGCATCATTCTAAAGGCGATTCATCAGGAACATCAGTATCATCACCGCCCCATTGACAAAGCTTTTAAAGGGAGAGGAATTATAGTGGACAGAGGCAGCTAAGAATAGTTTTAATACTCAAGAAGAAGGTGACCCAAGCTCCAGTCTTGGCAGTACCATATTTCAACCAGTTGTTTGAGGTAGAGTGTGACGCATCCAACGTGGGGATAAGAGCAGAGTTGAGCCAAGGAGGTCACCCCATCGCCTTTTTAGTGAGAAGCTAAATGATTCCAGGAAGAAAAACTCAACGTACAATAAAGAGTTTTATGTCATTATGAGATCTCTTGAGCACTAGAGCAATTATCTACTGACGAGCGTGTTTATGTTTTTCACAGACCACAAAGGCTTGAAATTCTTGAACAACCAGAGAAAACTAAAGGGAGTTATTAGCATCATTCTGGTTCATGCTTAAGAAAAAGGCAAATAGCAAAACCCCATAGCAGATGCACTAAGTTGTCATCAATTGTTGATTACTACGATGCAGGCACGAGTCATAGGATTTGAGGTAGTGAAGAAGATATACAAAGCAAATGAAGATTTCGAGAAAGTCTGGGAGCGGTGCCAGGAGAAGTTAACTTGCAGTACTACAAATCTAATGGTTACTTGTTCTATTAGAGTAAATTGTGCATTCCTAGATATTCGTTGAGGGGGTCCATTGTTCAATAAAGCCACATGGGAGGACTTGCAGGGCATTTTGGTAGGGACAAGACTCTCGAACTCGTGAGAGAGCATTTCTTTTGGCACTGACTAGCGAGAGATGCGGAGCGACAAGTCAGACAATGTCGGATTTGTTACGTGACAAAAATTGGGGGGTATAATGCAAGGCATATACGCCCCATTACCAGTACCTGAGGCACTGTGGGTAGATGTTAGCATGGATTTATTGTGTGACTTCCGAGGATACAGCGGAACAAGGATCCAGTCATCGTCGTGGCGGATTGATTCTCGAAGATGGTGCATTTTGTACAATGCCACCGAACCTTGAATGTATCGCATGTCACCGACTTGTATTTAAATAAAATTGTGAGATTGCACAGGATACCCAGGACCATCACTTCATACAGGGACGTCAAGTTTGAGTCACTTCTAAAGGACTTTATAGGAAAAAGTATGCACTAAGCTCCAATTCAATTCCACAGCTCATCCACAGACGGAGATAGTGAACAAAAGCCTTGAAAATCTTCTGAGATGCTTTGCTGAAAAAAATATTAAGCAGTGGGATCTGATTCTAGCTCAGATTGAGACTGCTTGCAGCAAATCCATGAGTCAGACTACGGAATGCATCCCATTTGAGATAGTGCACAAACGCAATCCGCTCACTCCATTTGAATTGGTACCGTTGAGGTTGACATTAGAAATTAGCGAGGATGATAAGAAATGAATGCACGAGATTCAGAAGCTCCGCAAGGATGTCGGAAAGAAAATCGCTAAACAAAACTTCAAGTATCAAGCACAGGCAAACAAAACCAGAAAAAATGTGACTTCAAGAAGGGGACCTAGTGTAGATCCGGTTGAAGAAAGAAAGATTTCAGTGGGAGCATTTAGAAAACTCAAGCCCCGATAAGATGGACCTTTCAGAATACTCCAGAAGTTGCATGGTAACGCTTACAAAATCAACCTGCTAGGAGACCATAATGTTTTTGTTACATTCAATGTCGCAGACTTGACACGTACTATATAATAGAATCATACTGCATGATAAGTTTAATTCAAATAAATAAAAACCTAAATAAATTCCTTAATTAGATTAATGTGAATTTTGAACCAATCATATTATACAAATGATCGGGTTTAATACAAATGGCTAAACAACCTAATATTTTCATTAATTAATTAAATTTGAATTTTGAACTAATCATATTATATAATGAACATGTACCGTATCATATGTTTCCTTAATTAAGTTAAGAAAGACTCTGAAATAAAAAGTTAATCGATACTAATCAAATATATATCGAGATCATACTATATAATATTTCACTAATCAGTCAATTTAATTATTTAGAATTTTTAAACTAATGCACCTCAAATATATTATTTCTTTTGAATCCTAAATATCAGAAAATTCATTCATATTAATAAATAAATATAGATTGCAACAAATTCATTAATAAAAAATACATTTTAAAATTTTTAACCTAAAGCACCTAATAATAAGAACCCACTTATGCTATTGACCAGATAAATAAAGTACATCTTAATTTTTTTAACCTAATGACCAAATAATAAGAAGCCACTTATTCTATTGGCCTGACACTTAGTTCACCTACTATACATGAACTGAAACTCAACGAGAGAATTATAGATGCCACTAAACAAAACAAGGAGAAACAAATTGCTTAAAAGGTTGATGAACTAGATGATAGTAAGACGAACAGCTCTATCGATGTGATTTTCTTTTGAGAATGTTCAACACCTTTCTAAGAAATAAAAAGAAGAGATTCTAAGACCAAAAAAAAGGTAAGGATAAATCAGTTTCTAAGAAAAATCCTAACATAATTGGTTAGAGTGCAATAAATCAAAGCATATAAAGTGAGAGTGTCCAACTCCTAGAAGGACTTATTTGAAGAAAAATGTGATCTCAATAAATTCTAAAAAGTTTCAAAAAGAATCTTCTAAATCAACTGGGATATAGAAATATCTGACAATGAACCTAAGGGAAATTAACGATTTATGTATAATGGCCCAAATGAGATCATGAAATTCAAACTCGGAGCATATATATGATCTTCCCTATGATAAATTACTTCCAATGGTTGAATAATCACATAATAGCTTTAAATATATTAGGAAAAAATATTATGTTATCAAAGAGTTTTGCAAGTTCAAAAAATTAACATAGCATACTAGTGCAAGGGTTAAGTAGAAAAAAAGAATTTGAAAGATAAGAATTTATTGTTCATAGAACTTTTAAGAAAATATAATCCCATGCCATTAGTAATTTTTATGATAGATAAATAAAAAGACGAGTTTCATATTAAAATAGAATAACATAATAGTACCAATTATAGTTTAAGAGATAAACAAAATAAATTGACAAGTTTCTCCTGCACATCTTCATGCATACAAAAAGGGATAATATGTCATTTCTCCTTCTTTCATAGAAAGAAAGGTAGAATAAGTAAAAAATTAATCAATTCCAAGCCTAATAGGATTAAGTGATATTCATTGATTCACATAAAAACATAGCTTAAATCATACGAGTGTTACATAAAGGAGGATTCATAAGATTGAGACTATATCATGGTATCAATATTCATTAGTAAACCCAAGATGATAAAAATTAAAACGCAGCATAGTTTTGTACGACTAAACAGTCTTTAAGCTTAATATTCATTAGTGAACCCAAGATAAAAATTAAAACGTAACATAGTTTTGTACAATTAAACAGCCTTTAAGCTGAATCTAATTTTTGAGAATTATTTGGTCATATAACTAGAATTAAGCTTGAATCGTGCTAAATATAGATTTATCATCCATTAAAACCAGTTGTTTTTGTAATCTTACTTTCTCCCCATTTGAGCTAAATCCTAGATTTAGTGCAGCTTATGAGGTCTGGGATTTAATGGGAATTTACCCGTGAACGGAGGTTCAGAACAAGAAGCTGGTGTAGTCAGTGAATGGGCAACCATTTCTCTCAAGAACTTCACTTATCCTTCACATGCAATCAGTCTCATGAATGCCTACTCTTAGGGCTGTTTGGCGCAGCTATGGGGCTGCAGCGAGGCATTCCGCCGCGGATTCGGTCGTGTGATTTGGGAGTCGCGGGAGCGTTCTATTAAAAAAACCAGATAATCCCCACCGCAACATGCGAGGTACTTATGTGCTTTTTCCAATTTGCTATTACTCCCGTGCCAAACAACCCCCCCCCCCAGGGTG